TTTTCCGTCTGAAACTCATTGTAAGTATCAATTTTGAGTGAATTATCTTCAGTAGTTACTAAAATATCGCAGTTTTCGTATTTCTTAAAATTACCGTTATATGGGAGGTAGGCGTGGTTATTGTCCGATTTCGCCCATTTTCAATACCATCCGTCCTACGCCCAAAAGAAGTTCACGTACCAAGTTTCGTTAAGATATCTCAATTTTTACTCGAGTTATCGTGTGCACAGACGGACAGACGGACGGACGGACGGACGGACGGACGGACAGACAGTCACCGCTTAATCGATTTCTCTTTTCATTGTGATCATTTATGTATACATTTGTCTATATCTATCTCGATTCGTTTTGCCTGTTACAAACAACCGTTATGTGAACAAAGTTATAATACCCTTGTGCACAAGTGCGCTCGGGTATAAAAAAAAGGTCTAGATGGATCACCCTATACATGCTCTCCCTACTGAATAAAAAACTGATACATTGCTCTTATTTACTTTACCATTTGTTCGATTTGCTATTGTTGTTGCCTTCATATTTGCTCACACTTTAATGTATAAAAAAACGCCTGCGGCTCAGATTGCATTTTATTGTACTCGTAGCGCAGCGGCAGGCGGCGGATTGGGCGTAAGTCGACAATTGTGGCAACGCCAGCAAGATAAAAAAGTGTGAAAATTTACACCGATTCACATTCAATCTGCACTCATATAAACTACGCTGCACTCATTTGAAGCAGCATCCCTTTCTTTGGGTGGGATGGGCGTGAATGTGTGGGTGAAAAAAAGGAAATTAAATTGTCTCCAGGTTATTGTCCTGGCGCGACAGAAAAAAAAAGACTTCTACGAACGAGCATGCACTTTTTATACATTAAGTATGTACACAAAGTCTGACAGCTCGTGTGTCAGTTTACTGCACAGTAAATAATATAGCAGAAAAATATGTAGGTTCACACATATACATATGTAAATACATACATATATGAACATACATACATAAGTGCACAATCTCACACAAATCACAGTGTCGCAATAGCCGCAATTGAGAAAGATGAAACTCAATTCACCGACAATTCGTTCGTTGTCCTTAGTGTATTTTCTTTCGCTATTGCATTATCCTCGTCTTGCACTTCATGCTACAGAAGAACTGAAATCCTTTCATGCGCAATGTAAACAAAACGGACACGTGAACAAATATTTGTAGCTACACACTTATTGGGGAATATATAAGTAAATACTTACACGCAATCACAATGAATTTCTTATCTTGTAAAGGCACACAAAACCGCTCTAAGTAGCCTTAGTCCTAGTAGAATTTTTGCACAAAAACAAGAATAGGGAAATGCTACTGTACGTAGGTGTGGTAGCCACTGCAGGAAATGTATCCAACTATAAGTTAACTTGAAGTTGATTAGGAAAGAACTAAAGTTCACTATTTTCTGTATATTTTCTTTGATAAACGCTAACTATATTTACTTGGTGGAATTGTAACTAACTACTTTTGGACATAAAATATCAATGAGAAAAACAATATCCAAAAAAAATTTTAACATGTTTTTTTTATTTAACATTACATATTTTTTATATATTATGCTTTAGGTGGCTCCATATATGCATTCCAGCAGACGTATGTAACTACAAAATAATAAAATAAAATTTCGATCTTCAATATATTTGTCCTGAATAGTGGTGTTCCGATATCAGTACTAAGAAGTAACGGGTGATTTTTTAAGAGCTTGATACCTTTTTTTTTAAAAAAAACGCATAAAATTTGCAAAATCTCATCGGTTCTTTATTTGAAACGTTAGATTGGTCCATGACATTTACTTTTTGAAGATAATTTCATTTAAATGTTGACCGCGGCTGCGTCTTAGGTGGTCCATTCGGAAAGTCCAATTTTGGGCAACTTTTTCGAGCATTTCGGCCGGAATAGCCCGAATTTCTTCGGAAATGTTGTCTTCCAAAGCTGGAATAGTTGCTGGCTTATTTCTGTAGACTTTAGACTTGACGTAGCCCCACAAAAAATAGTCTAAAGGCGTCAAATCGCATGATCTTGGTGGCCAACTTACCGGTCCATTTCTTGAGATGAATTGTTCTCCGAAGTTTTCCCTCAAAATGGCCATAGAATCGCGAGCTGTGTGGCATGTAGCGCCATCTTGTTGAAACCACATGTCAACCAAGTTCAGTTCTTCCATTTTTGGCAACAAAAAGTTTGTTAGCATCGAACGATAGCGATCGCCATTCACCGTAACGTTGCGTCCAACAGCATCTTTGAAAAAATACGGTCCAATGATTCCACCAGCGTACAAACCACACCAAACAGTGCATTTTTTCGGGATGCATGGGCAGTTCTTGAACGGCTTCTGGTTGCTCTTCACTCCAAATGCGGCAATTTTGCTTATTTACGAAGCCATTCAACCAGAAATGAGCCTCATCGCTGAACAAAATTTGTCGATAAAAAAGCGGATTTTCTGCCAACTTTTCTAGGTAATAAAATTCAATGATTTGCAAGCGTTGCTCGTTAGTAAGTCTATTCATGATGAAATGTCAAAGCATACTGAGCATCTTTCTCTTTGACACCATGTCTGAAATCCCACGTGATCTGTCAAATACTAATGCATGAAAATCCTAACCTCAAAAAAATCACCCGTTATATACCTAAGCACATTGTAAATTGGTTTGTAATTTTCGGGATCAACAAAGACATACGAGACACCAAATACATGCCACACCATGCTACATGCGTCATGCCACATGTTGACCAACCACTTCCCTTAACTTTTACGTTTTGTTGCATTCGCAGCGGGAGTTTCTTGGTATTTTATTGCATTCTAAATTGCTGTGCTCCTTAGGGTACATAATTTCAAGTGGTAAGTGCTTACACTTGAGTAAACCCAAATTGAATAGAGTTGCAATAACAATCTCAACATGGCTAACAAAACGTTGTGGAAAATTTTTGATGCAGTTTAATAGAACAGAAAACTTCTTCTCTCACTATTTGTTTTTCGGAGGCGTTTTGGTAGAGCACTTACCCTCAAGTGAGCTTCTTAAAATCAGAACACGCCCGCTATCTGGTCGAATTCCGATATCCACAGGACAGCCTCCTGCAGAAATTCTGAACATTAGATTTTCGTATATAATTACAAAGTAACCTATGTACAGATGTTGCTAAAATAACGTGTACACATCTTTTAAGATTTCACAGCAGTCTCGTTCTGAAATATGCACGACCAGTTTGGAAATGTGTCAAATGGATATACATTTACTACACCGTATGCTGTCGCTGTTGAATTGCTGAGTAGGAAAAATGGTAAACCTATAATGTCCAGCGCTCCGATGACTATGAGCGATATTTTGGAATTTTTTGGCGGCTTTCGGATATTTCCGTAATTTTTAGTGTTTCGGAGTTTTCCTTGACCTTGGAAAAAAATCTAAAAAATTAAGAGCTAAAAATTTGCGAAATCTGCCCGAAAGATTTTAGGAAATTCAAGCTTTTATTGTTGCGATAAAAATGAAATAATCCAGCAGTGAAATCTATTATCGTACCATAAAATGTACGGATTTAATTTCTTTTAAATTTTTTGTATGAAATATGCCTATTTTACGAAATGCCCTCTAAATAAGCCAGTGCCATTCGTTGCTATAATTTACAAATTCATTCCTTACTCCATGCAAACATATCATAACCATCACCTTTACCATATA